TGATATATATATATATATATATATGTAAAAGTTATTTTGTATGAATCAATATTATAAAGGGCGAAATTTTTGAAAAGGGTGTAATTTTCTTTTTCATTTTTCAACAAATTTTAATGCTTAAAAGTATTTAATTTTCTGCATATATATTCACTGATAAAAAAGTAGTTCATAGAGCACTAATGTTTACATAAAATTTATAATATTTTCCGTCAACATGTTTAAATGAGTGTGCGGTCCTTCGTCACTCAACGTGTTGTGCAAGTAGCCCCTTTACCCAAGATGTTTGTGCACCCCTACATAATAAAGCTTGTGGAACAACTTACTGCTCCTAACCCAAATATTATTGAATACAACGAATTAGAAAGTTAGGTAACGAGGAAAATGATTTCAGTCTTACGTATTTTCGGGACGGGAAAAATATTGGATAGGAGGGAGGCAACGTATGAATGGTTGACCATATAAAGCTAAGCTCAGAAAGCGCTGGGGGGTTACAATTCGCCCTAAGACTTCCGGTTTATTTCTTTCGATTGATTTTAATGCTTAATCTTGAAAAATGGCACCATCAAATGTTATTATACTTGTGTTTACAATATAACGTGCTTTTTAAATTTAAATTTCAAAGAAACAAATAACATAAAAATTTGGTATACTCCGCAAGCATGCTATGCCCTGAGAGATGTAACCCAAAAAATAACTAACGGCGATGTTTTACACGAATATAGAACCAAATAAGCGATAACACTCAAAACATGGCAAATCTTACAATTTATTTTTGCTGTGATTATGTTTTCTTACATTTGTTTCAGGCTCACAATTAGTAAGAATTTACGCATTGCAGGAAAATCTTATGAATGGTAATATCACGCATAAATCCCAACACAAATCACAATAATAAAACTTCCTAGAATATTAAGCCTGTTCACGTATCACTTCGTAAGCATATTAAATAAGAAGAGGGATACACCGGAAGTTTTCTAACTTTCTTCCGGTTTTAAGGAGCTTGTTATTGTTTATATTAAGTCAACCATAATTGTAGACTTGTCCAACCGGTTCACAAGTAACTGTACCTTCTGACTATCACTTTTCTTCTTATGCGCATGCGCTGGATCTCAGTACATGCGAAGTTTTGTTAAATCTGAGTATGTTGCTCTATCTGGAAGCTATTTTTCTGGTATAGTATACCGTACTGAACAGTTTCCCGCTTTAGTTACGCATTCTCCTTTGTATATTCTTTGCCCTGAACACCAGATCACTTTCAGTGCTGCTGGTAGCGTTCATTTAAACGTTTTAGTGATACAAAACATTATATTTTTGAAGCTTTTTTACTACTTCTTTTTAAATTTTTCAGAATGTGAATGTGGATCAAATGGCGAATGCTCTTTCGATAGCAACGGTAACTTTTCGAAGTGTCTCTGCGATTCCGGTTTTTCCGAAAATTCTGGAAAATGTGTCCGTAAGTTTGAGCTCAAATATGTAAAATTTATTCTTTCTTCTTTAGAATGCTGATGAAAATACAGTTTTGTCCAGACAATGAATTCACTTAGTATACTAAAATACTTCTATAATCTTTCTTAGTATACTTCTAGGGCCAAGATAGCCTGGTTGGAAGGATACTAGATTCTCGTTCGTGAGAACGAGAGTTCGAATCCAGCTGGCCGAAGACTTCTCGCATAAAAAGTGACTGGTGCACTTTAAAATTGCCAGGTTACAAAGTCCTCCATTTTTCCACAATAAATTATACTTCTGGAGGTACTGAATTCGAGATTGATCGTTCTTTGGTTCAGGTCAAAATTACGCCTTCCAATAAGGTGAACCGGGTTCGAATCCCACTGATGGCTGGTAGCCGTTTTTCCTCGACCACAGTGCTCGCATGAAATATCCTCAGTGGTAGACGGATCATGGGTTAGAGTCCCCTTGCTGCCAGGCTAACCGTGGGAGATTCTCGTGGTCATCCTCTCCATGTAACTCAAATGCGGTTAGTTCCATCAAAAAGTCTTCCACAGAGGCAAATTTTCCCCAATACTTGAACCAGGTCATCTGGTGAACCCTTGTGAACCGGGTGAACCCTTGTCATCTGGATAGGGTTCAAAATTACATGACTACAGAGTTGAACATTGGTAGTCGTAAACCGTATATTGGGTTGGCTAATCAACGACGGTTATAGAATAAAATATCTTCTATTAGGGACAGAAATTGGCATGTATGAAATTATCAAAAAACAGAAACATATCAGCCAATTTTCTCCACTTTTCCCATTTTCATTTGAAGTATTAATATTATAATAAAATTATTAACTCAATATTTTTTATATTAATGCAATGTAAAAAATATTGTATTCATATTTATTCCTAGATATAATAAAAATTAAATTTGAATTATTTTCCATCTACATTAATAAAAGGAAAAGCTTAACCGTCTGTTTCTATTATGACTCCAGATACTGAATTGGAGATTGATAGAACTGAAACCGATGACCTTTGATTGTTTGAGACCAAAAATTTTCACAAACAATCCAGAAACTTAATTGTTAGTGAGAATTTTAAGCAGCAAGTAAAAGTTGAACTTTTTTTATTTTTTGCTGTTAGTGGCGTGATATATATTCGTTTTGACGTTTAGCAGCGTGTAAAATTTATAATTTTAAACCACTGTTCCAAAATTCTTTCAGAAACGTTGAAACGTAGTGACGTTTGAAAAACGTTGTTTTCTTTCTTTTTTTCATTTCTCTCACAAGTCTGAAAATTGTTTGCTTTTTGTAAAACTTTTCTGTTGGTAGCAACGTTATAGTTTTAATGTATTTTACTTATCATTTAAACTTATTTTCTATACCACTACACATAAATGATTTAAAAGTTCATTTTCAACACCATTTTGTTCCAGTTCTCTTGTGGTGAGTCTTTAAAAATGTTGGCAAGATTATAAAATATTCTGAAAATCATTTTTTAAATGTCTACCACTCTATAAAATATTGTACAAAAAACATAGTAGTTGGCAGGCCAGCTCTCAAGAACGGGGAGTTTTTGGCCAGCTAAATTCGAACTAACTTTTTCACAAGTATTTTCCAGTAATAGAGCGATATTCATGTTTTGATGTATAATTCTTAAATTACTTCTATTTGATGTATAATTAAATTACTTACATTCAAATTACTTTCATCCTTATATAAGGAAGTGTTTAAGTTTATATGATGCTGGCATTTTCCAATACATATTTTAGAAGATGATAGGCTATCATAAAAGTCAAAACAATTCAAATAATGTGTAGCAATATCTGCATTAATGCTTGTCTTCCTGTCGTCTAAAGTAATGAATTTGTTTTCAATTCCAGCAAATAAAGTATTGCGCAAAATTAAAAACGGACCACCCTGAATAACTTTTGATATAATGATATTTTAACCCTACACTGATGTTTTTTTAAAGTTAAGTGCCTCTGCCAGGTATACATTTGCCCGGTATACCCTACACTGATGTTTTTTTAAGGTTAAGTGCCAGTGCCCGGTATACATTTGTCTGGTATACCCTACACTGATGTTTCTTCTTATCTATCGTCAGTAAGTATTAAAATATAGAATAAATATAAATATATCAAATAAATATAATAATATTAACGAATAAATTAATATAAAATTGGATATAACAAATATTTCTGACATTCACCAAAGCGACTATGTGATTATTTACATTCACTAGTGAGAGTCAGAAATAAGGGTATTTAGCAAATATTATACGGACATACACCGAGCGACTACGTGAATGTTGACATTCACCGGTGAATGTCGACATTCTCCAGATTTCGGTGCTTCACCGTAACATATATGTTAACATGAATGACCGAAATTAAGAGAATGTCGACTTTCACCGGTCAATGTCAATAATTCCATTATCGCTTTAATAAATGTCCAAAATACTTGATATATCCGATTTGATATTAATTTATTCGTTGATATTAATCTATTTATTCAATATTTTAAATAATAATTTTAATTGTTGCAACTTTTTTTCCCTTTTTTTCTTCTTAGTTTTATAAAGTTAATCCTTAATCATTATTAAAAAAGAAAAATTTCGAACTTACATATAGAAGATTTTATGATGAGGAGATAGTACGACATTTTCTGATTTGTTTAACAGTATTATTCTTTTTGCAAAATTATTTATTATTAGTTGTATATATTATGTATATTTATTTATTTTTATTTATATTATTTTTGTATTTTTTAGTTTGTGATTGTGGACCCAAATCCAAATGTTCATTCCAAAATGAAAGAAAAATGTGCTTGTGTGCTAAAGGATACAAGGATGACGAAGGATACTGTACAGGTAAAAGTATTTTTCAATTAAAATAAATCCCATACTATAACCTAGAGAGCTTTTTAAAAATAAATCCAAAAGTAACTTTTTGGCTATTATAGAGCCCCCGAGTACTATAAAATTGAGCTTGTCATAATACAACAGAGTTCTCTGTATATTAACAGAACTTCATTAGAAAAACGCAAAAATCAATCATTACACTTTATATAACTAAGAGGGAAAAAATGTAATTAGTTTGTGTCAATGTATATGTTACCGTTAAAGTGTACAATTCAGTTATTTCATAGAATAATTAGGTATTTTTTGAAATGACTAGGGAAGTCAATTAAAATGTAAAATAGATTAAAAATTTCATATTTTACCTAATTATTCTAAGAAATAATTAATTATTGACTATTAAACAATTTCATTCTTATTTTATAAATTAGTTGATTATAAACAGCTGAAATCAAACGAAAAATGCATTTAATCCTTATTTCGGGTGATTAATTGATAAATAATAAGGAAAGGAAGATGATATAATGTATCATTACTCATATTAATAACTACGTCTAAAAGCAATGAATTGAATCGTACACACACGTCATTGCAAGGCAGCTATAAGTGGTTGAAACTGACTAAAAGCATAGTGACTCGAAATACATTACGGCACTCGACAGTTCAAGGAACTTTCGAGTGCCATATTTCATACTGTAAACAATCAAATAATTGTTATTCTACAAAATACTTATTTAAATCGTAAAATTCAATAATTTTATACACTTTAACAGACTCACTAGTTTTTTCATGAAATACCTAGTTATTCTCTGAATTCACGGATTTCACATCTTAACGGTAGTATTTAGTATTTTTTTCTTCAAACCTTTATGCTACACTTAAAAAGTAGGGGACCATTTATCGGGTTAAGCTTCCTTTTGATCAATGGCTGCACTGACTGGAAACAAAAAGCCACCAAGCTAAAATATGAAATGTTCTGTATCCACATTAGTTCACAATTGTTTGCCATTATATAAAGATACTGTATTATGAAGGTTATATGTTTTTGCGCTCTCATTTGCTTCTAATGACACTTGGTGGACAAACCAAGCTCGCCCGCCATTGCCCTAGAGAATTAAATCAGGAATGTGCTCCTTTCGTTTAACAAGAGAGCTCCACAAGGGTGAAAGTATTTTTTTGTCTCAGAACGTCACAAATAAACGGCAGTACTACTCATTCGTGAGGTCACTTCCTCAATTTAGACGTAGATCTAAAGGGGAAGAACATTTTCTCTACATTAATATACCCATATTACTGCTCAGTAATCGACCAAAGGATTTTCGATTCTATAGACTTTATGAGAAATTTTATTGCATGCATTCGGTGGGTTGAAGATCGAATCCAGATCCCTCTTGTCCGGAGTCCGATTCCTTAACCACTAGGCTACCACGACTCTCATTTCCAAGAACTCAGTATAAAATCATACAGCCAAATTTTTCACATTTTGCGTAAAATTTTATTTTTATATAAAATGATAGTTAAATTTATGCTTTCCATTTAGTTCTAGAATATATACATTTAGTTCGATATTATTTTAACCACCACTACAGATAAATAGATTAAACATGAGTTCAAGTGTTCGATAATCATATGATGGTGCGTTTAAGCTCTTGCTAATAAAAGAAAATATTTTTGCCTTCGAGTGATATAGAGGCACTAATTTAATTTTTCTAGACATCGACGAGTGCTTGAATACTGAAGCCTGTCCAGGACCAGGAACACTTTGTGAGAATACCTTAGGAAGCTATAAATGTCGATGCCAACAAGGGTACCAAGGGCGTTCTCCAACCGAAACTGACAAGAAAAGCCTGTGTGAAAAGATAGGTTGGTATGGTTTTTTTACCTATGTGTACACACGCAGATATATATATATATATA